TCTCTCTCTCTCTCTTTTTTAATTTTTAATGTATGTACGCTGACCCACATCTTCGATTTCGAATGGAAGCAACTCGTGTGCCCTAAAGCTGAACTTCTAATTTGTTCTCGATGCGTGAAAAATATGCTCGTGCATCGCTAACACCTGCTCTCACTTGTCATCGATATTTTCGATGTGGCGATAAATTAAGAATTATAGTTACGAACATAAAAAGGAGAACTTATAACGAAGAAAAGTAAAGATAAGAAGATAAAATTAACTTAAAAAAAGACATCAATTTGTTCGAGTTCAATCAGTTAATTCTCTGCCTTGCGACTTCTTCCGCGATTGTCTTTATTAAAGTCATATTGATTTTAATAATTTCTTAGGAAATGAAAGGAAAAACACTTTATGTTCGTTGGATTTATCGTAAAAGTTACATATTGATAGTAGAAACGTAATTTTTTATTTCAGAATAAAAAGAGAGAACGGTATTCATATTTATTAAACTCGAGAAGTTAAAATTGCAATCTCATATGGTGCTTAATTGAATTATTGACTTTTATCTGTAACCTTCGCACAGAAAATATTAACGTGATGCATTTATGGTATTGTAATTTTTGTAGGGCGTGTAGTTCTGTTTATATTTTAACATTATTTTAAAATGAGAGTATGAATTCTATCATTATTCTACAGTTTGCTTGATAATCCAAAACGTTAAGAACTTTAATAACTAAAAAATTAAAGAATTAAGAAATTAATGAAACCAAAAAATCGAAGTGTAACCGAAACGAAGAAATCGATCAAAATTACAGAAGCTGAACGTTATTATTTCAGTTAAACCTTTCAAGTATACATATCAAAGAAAGTCGTATATGACTGGTATAAGAAAGTAATTAAATCTGGCGTTTCTTTTCTAAATGAAGAAAGTACATAAGGTATATACACTTTTAATAATCATTTAAAAATTGCTTTTGTTATTAGATACAGTTTCCACTTATTACAAGTAAATTAAGCAGATTCTGGAGTAACATTTCTACGTTGTCTGCCACTAAATATATACCTCAGTACATACGTAAGTCTAATTAGTTAATGCTTCGTAAAACAACTGCACTTATGTTTAATAGCTCGTAAACAACGTTGAGATCGATTTATATGAATTTCTAAAGAATCGTTTAGAAGCATTATTCCATTTTATTTTTAATAGATTATTTCTTAACTAATTTATTTGCAATATTATATAGTCAAATATTTTTTACACTGTCGACTTCTTATTTTTCAATTTTTCATATTATTTTCCAATATGTTCAAATACACTTATTTATCCATTTCTTCTTTTACAATATCATTTGCATATGTAGCAAATTCAATGATCTTAACACTTAGCCAACCGAACGAGGAGATCTCCCACTTTTCACTTAGCAACGTATTGCCTTTCATTCCGTTTACTTTTTGTTGTGATTGTTTAGTAAGTCTTGAAGTGGGATTATTTGCAACTCATCAAATACGGTTCTTGCTTTTATAAAACAAAGTTTTTAACCACATTAATTGTATGAGTGCAGTTGAAGATAATGGGAGAGGTTGTAGTTATAGTTCTTTTCAGTCGGTTGCCTAAGTGTTAAGGTAGTTTTCCTCAGTATTGTTAAATATCGAATACTGCGCTAGGCTGATGATCATATAATAATAATTTCAGAAGCCGAACCTAATTTTCTCAATTTTTGTTCTCTGAACTTAACCCCATCCCTTACTCGTGGTGAGTAGTTTGATTAGAACTAACTATCCATTTAAAATATATTACATAACAGTATGATACCTGTTTTTTTTATAGATAGGGATATAAGTGGATCTCACTGAAACTCCGCACAATTTAATTTTCTGATAATTAGCAGGTACGCAATGTGTTAAATGTAATCTCTTCTAGCATTTTTCTACATTTAACCAGTTAACTGTGTTTGACGCTCCATTTTTCGATTTTATTACACGCAGAACGAAAGGTTTTTTCAACCAAATTCCACAGTTAACTGATAAAAAGGAACGGTATCTCTAAATTGGATAAACACATGTACGAATATGTATGTATGCCACGTATATAAAGGGTGTCTCAAAATTAACGCAAGATTTGAATTTGCCACCATTCGTGCAGTACAGTGTTGGCAACCCTATAAAAAAACCATTTGACAGCTGATAGTTTAGGGTTAGTAAAAATGAAGCGTTACACGATAGAACGACGTGTTATTATGGATTATTGAACAGCAACAAGTGGATGCCGATTTTTCGAACAAAATCATTTTCAGCGATGAAGCACATTTTCACCTTGATGGCTTCGTTAATCGTCAAAATTGCCGCATTTGGGGTTTAGAGAACCCACATGTGAATGTCAAAAAACAAATGCATCCTCAATGCATCACTGTTTGGTGCGGATTTTGGGCTGGAGGCATAATTGGATCACACTTTTTCGAAAATGAAGCTGGTCAAGCAGTAAATGTTACTGATGCTCGATATCGCGACATGATAACACAGTTCTTTCTGCCTAAATTGAATGATATTGATGTGGACGACATGTGGTTTCAACAAGACGGTGCCACATGCCATACAGCCCGCGAAACAATTCAATCACTGCATGAGACATTTCCTGGCCGAGTATTCTCTCGTCTCGGTGATAATAATTGCCCCCTAGATCGTATGATTTAACACCATTGGATTTCTTTTTATGGGGTTATTTGAAGTCGAAGGTCTATGCCAACAAGCCCGCAAGCACGCGTGAATTAAAGGAGGGAATTCAATGCTGCATCAACGAAATTCAGCTACATTTATGCAAAATGGTTATGGAAAATTTCGACAAAAGAATGCGTATGTGTCAGCAAATCCGTGGAGACCATTTTTCCTGAGTGTTATTCCATACATAACCCTATCCTCTGTATACTTTACGATTCAATAAAAAAACAACAATTCAAAGAAAAAAAACTGTGTTTTTGATTTAATTCAAATCTTGCGTTAATTTTGAAACACTTTTTACACGCATACCTACATGTCTACCCTGTGTACCCCGACTTACGTCCTTTTCGACTTACATCGTCCACTCCGGAACCAATTAGGACGTAAGTTCGGGGCCTTACTGTAGAGCACGGTGCTCGCGTAACGGCGTAGCGGAGGCGACGGAATCGCAGGTGGAATTGCTTATTATTCACGCGGCCGATGGCGCAATCAGAGCCTGCCGATGGACTCTCTATTTCGTTGGGCTGGCGAGCGTCCTGTCATGCTAATCCGCCGTTTCTAATCCCCACGAGCGTGCCAACGTTCGTCGAAATGGATCACGGAGCCGTTCGCGGGCTCGGCTCGTTCCAATTTTCACTTTCTATTCTCGCGGCTGGGTATCGGGAACCGGCCGAGCACTTATGGGGAACCTAACCTTCCTCTATAAACTTCGTTTCTACATTGCTAATTTCGTTCTGCAATTAACCATCGAATGACAGCACAAGTCCATTTAGACACATGTTATCGGAGCTAATATTAGACAACCACGTGGCAAGTTGAATTGAGGCAGATATACCGATTATGGCTTTGCTTCGATGATGTTGGTCATCGTGATTATCTTTCTTTGTTCAGAGTTTATGTTAACTCTTCTGGCTAATTAGTCTGACCACGTAATTGTACGGTTAGGTAAACTGTGTATGGTACTGGAGCTATTGTACCAGTCGAATTGAATGGTATTGATTTTCTTGTAATTATTGATAACGTACGAGCGGTACGTATACGCAATTAAAATAAAAATAGAAAATCGGAAGGAGAGCGAAGGTAGAAAAAAAAAGAGAAACGATTGTAATGAAGAACATAAACAATAAAACTTTAAAATTGTATTAAGCGCAGGTTTTATTTACAGGATGATGAATTTATTTGTGAGGAAATATATGGAATGTTATGCACGATTTTGAAAGTAAATGCATCGAAAGTCAAAAAGGTCCTTACAGTAATGGTAAATGGTGCATTTGCCCTAGTTATCATGAGCTGAGGAGCTGAGTGAAGCTTTTATCAGCTTGGGTGACAATAGACTTGGAAACCACCATCATACTTCAGCTTAAAATGCGAACAGTTTACGACAAATTAAGAAGTTAAATCGCTACTTATACTCCGTGCATCGTTTCTATTCGATTCAAAAGAAAACCTTGTTTTCAGTCATACTTTTTCTTCTGATTCTTAAATTAGTGCAATAACTTACTTGATTTTTTCTTAAACTACAAGATATATCATTTTTCTGTAAGCATACTTTAAATAAAATTAATATACTGTTTCACCGCTTCGTACACATATTTTACTGCAGTTTCCAGTGATAAGAAGTCGAAAAGAACAGTCAGAATGCAAAATAATGAAAACTATTCATTACTAGTACGTAAATATTTAAAATTGAAGTCCGATCAATTTAATCTCAAAAACGAGATTGAGATCACTTTTTAATTACAAATATTTACGTAAATACTTTTAAAGGCAAGTAAAATCCATCCCACAGTTTTTTTCTATTTTTATTTTCTACTTTTATTTCTACTTTCTATTGTCAGTTTTATTTCTTTACTTATGTTTCTGTCATAGCCAAAGCTTTTATTCGAACGGAAGTACGAAGTGACTTTTACCGATACGGATACCTTGATCCGTGAAAATCCAGTAGTCACCAGTCGAACGAAAGAGAAAATGAAAACTCACTGAAAGATGTAGTGGAATACGAATGACGAGTCCAGCTCGACTTCCTCGGTTAACAGGTTAAAAGGCAGAAAATAAATCGCTGGAGAAATTACCGTCGGCGTACGCTGGTGGCAGTGCTTTCAGGAAAGGCGCACCTCGAGTACCCCAGACCGGATGTCGGACATTGTTGCAAGCCCCGGAAGGTGTTCTATACTTGCTTGGAGGACATGGTCGGTCCGGTTTGATTCTGCAAGGAGCATCGCCGGACTCTGGCCTATCCTGAAACCTGGAACACCAAACAAGACTCGTATTGAGGCAGTTTCCATCGAGAAACGAACTTTCCAAGTGAAATTATTCAAACGTACAACTCTTTTTCTTTTTCTTTTTTTTGTGCCTCCAACTGTACATACAGTTCCGGAGATTCGTTTTCGTACGATATCGAGTTTCACTATCAAATGACAACGTTTTCAATGGATTTGATACTAGTTGTGAGTGAAACGTTAGATGGTATCTTAACACTATTTCTACCGAAGGTGTCAAGAGACACATTTTAAAATTTTAACCTGGAATTATTTTCTCGGCTTAATCATTTCTCCTCAATTGAATTTTGTACATTTCCTATGGTCAATTTTGTAATCGTTATTGGAAAAGTCGAAAGTCAATTCAGAATGTACGACTAACTTGGAAAATAATTTTAAATTAGAAATCTTGACACCTTTGGTAGAGATAGCGTTAATAGAGAATTATTCTATTAATTTAGTAATAGTTTACTACTTTATTTTTATATTATATTTTTATTACTTTATGCTTCAGTCATATTTTTGGTATTATTTTGATAATTATAATTATTTTAATGCAACTTATTATTATATTATTATAGTTGTATTGCTATTTACTATTCTACTGATTCTTTAAATGACTATTACATTAAAAATATCGTTACCTTATAATAGGGGACAATGACCTATGAGAAGTCATCTACTCTTCTCTAATCATGTATAACTTTTATTGTTTAAGACTGATAATCTACTTTTTCAGGCTAGTAATTATCATAAATTGAAAATTAGTATAAATAATGGTTACAATCACTATTAGAGTAATTGTTATAAATTATAACTTGAGAACATTGCAAATGATTGCGTACACTTTATAAGTTTTAAATTGATAAGAATGGCGAAATTGATTTAATTTCATTTGAAATGAACAGTGAATTAAAGAATAGTAGATTACTGACATGCTATTGTGTATAATCTATAAGAAAATCCTTTAATTTTCTCTTCACACTGTATATCTAACATATATTTATCGTTGATCCTGTACGAAAATAACAAGACTAATAATAAGAAGAAATGTAATTGAATAATTCTTTACCTCGTCTCCAATAATAATGGAAATTGAAAATGAAGCTATAATAGACCAGTTGGGCAAATAAATATTTAGCTAGAATTAGCGATCGGTTGAAATGACAGTTTCGTAATTTCTTCTACTCATTGTCAGTGACTCTTTAGAACTCTATGGTAAATATAAACTATCGTAAAACATAGACACCCACTTCTCTGATTTCATAGCCTTTACTCGCTACTTACGGTAGAAAGCATTATCATAGAAAATCCATACTTTTCCCAACTGTATAGGATTCGTGTAAACTTTATTACTAGCCAACGCATTTCTCGTAAATAATGGACATATGGAAAAAAGAGAAAGAAGAAGTTTTATTAAGTTTTATAACCCACTTAATGACGTGCATCAACGTGTATAGATATATCATGGTTGCAATATTTTTCGAGAAACGAAGGAGTCCTTTAATTTGTTAACCTGTTAACTGTGGAATTTAATTTCAAATATTTCCGATAATACTCGCAATGAAACCAGATAATAAAGTGTACACTCGTTAAACGCAGGACAAATGCATCTATAATATATTCAAACGAAAAGCTAATGCGAAACAAAGAAGAATTATATGTTTATCTGAAAAAATAAATAATTTAGCATTGAAAGAAGCAGTATCATTTCGATTTTAAGATGACGTGTATACTCGTCGAACACAGTTAACTGGTTAAATGAGGTGCCACATATTTTTCGTTTCGAAAGTTTTAATGAGTTAATAAAACACCTCTCGAACAGTAATAAAAGATATCAGCACGTATACGTGTAGTGGAGATAATAATCTAGAAATAAAAATATTATTAGAAAATTGATACGCGTGACAATTATTCACAGTGACTGTTAAGGTTCAATAGATATGACAGGCTTTAATTTACAATTAAACTGATTTTTTCGGTAATAAAAAGATCTCATTCTTTCTTCTGAGATATTTTTACTTGTAAAATTACCATTCAGTTGTACAGTAATGTTAGAAATACCCTATACAATAACTATTAATCTAGGTTACGCAAATATCACACTAGGTTAAAAATTTACATTATTAAAAATACAAAAAAATATTAATTATTACATGCGACAATAATGGAATTGTAAATATGCCATTTTTTATAATAAAGATAGAAACATAATATTAGAAAAGTTAGAATGGCCCATACTATAGTTTTTACTTTACAGTTACAATTCAAATCTCAAGAAAGACGGTTTTATAATTTGTATAAGAATTCAAAATCGTTAGTTTCAGTGTTAAAAAGATATTTGACATTTGTTTTAGTCATGACACTGTAATTACCAAGCATGAATTTGCTCTAAATGATAATTTATAACTGTAACAACAATCAATCGCGGTCAGGGGTCGATAAAATTGTTAAAATTTTACATTGGTTATGAAATAACTGTAATTTTACGACTATTATCTCTTCTGTTCCGAGAAAACTGTTACAAAACAGAATGTATCGATTGGAACTCCTATTCCACAGACTTCTGTACAAGAAACCTTTCTTTTCTCGAATATAGAAAAAAAAATCCATTTAAACAGGAACATTTGTTCTGCTCTGAAAAAAGTTAAAGCCATGACAAACAGATTTCTTGGAAATCCTCTGGGGTAGATAGATCTAAAATTGAAACCTTGAACCGTTTAGTGAAGTTCTATTACATAAAAATTACAATATGCTTTATCTTCTATATTTATCTCGCTTTCGATTTCTTAAATAACGCTAATGAACAAAATATTCCCAGCTTTTATGTTTCACCCTTAAATATCCTTTAACAAGAAAATGATCCCCCAGAACTTTATTAATGGAATATAAAGTAGCCGTTAAAACTGAACTGTTGCAACAGAGTTAACATAAAAAGTTAACGTTTTGCACTCGATAGTTTTTCAATGTTCAATCGCCTTTCTCCGTTACACTGTCTAAAAGTACCACCCTATCGATTCGTAGAATCAAATTAAGTTTATTTATTTGTTTTCCTTCTAATTATTTATCTTCATTTTAGTTATTACCTGCTTAGAAATGGAAAAACCGAACGATCGCGCTATTTACAATTTTTTATGTAACAGAAAAGCGTAATTCACTTCCTTAACTAAAAGGAAAGGAGCGCTGTTTCACTTTTCGACAGAAATTCTGCAAAAACCCGTGGCACTTAAATGGTTAAAGAAAAATCACATATAAGTTAAAGAACAAAGCTACTTCATTTCATTTCATTCAGGTGTTTCACTCTGGAATTCGGATGACGTGCAGTCAAAGAGTTAACCAGTTTTGCAATTTTTCTCTTTGCTTTTGTTTCCGTCTCCACTAAGCAAAATTTATCATCTAACTTGTCTATCTGTCTTCTGTAACCAATTATTTGACTGGTTACGACAGGAATAAATATATGTAAAGCACTGGTTATAATAAAAGAAAAAAGGAAAAAGAACGCTTTCATTCAATCCCTGATCGGGTTGTTTCACGAGTACACACGGAGAATTCGTGAGGTTCGCAGCCACGTGCAAAAAAAAGTGACCCTGCAATTAGAACGGCCGCAGGCGACTTTCTATCCCGGGTGAGGAAAGGAGCGGTTCAAGATCGCCGAGGCAAGAAACAAACGATGAGTCCGGCCGGAATACTTCGGCTGAGCGGCAGGAAGGAAGGCCGTTCCACGATAGTGAAACACGGCTCGCGTGATCTTTCGTTTACTGACGCACGGTAATGCCTGCCTTTCGACGAAAACCGGAGGAAAATTCCAAATTTCATACGGTTTTCATGAAAATTGGTATACTTATATTTTTGGAGTTGCTGAATCTGAATATTTTATAAAAACTGCAAAACATAATGGCGGATCTAACATCACTGATGTAAACAATTTTGAAGTAAATTTTTGTAAACATTGACTGTTTAACTTTTGACAAAAATTATATAAAAATATGGAATTTAATACTGAGAATTAACAGTGGGAGTATTTACAAATTATTCAAATCTTACACGTGATTTTTCTCATCCTTCAAATGAAATATGTTCCAGATAATTTAAGAAACGAACGAAAATGATAAAATTTATGCGATTAAAACATCAAACTTAATAGGACGATATATAATACACTGTTGATCGATCACGACTTAACTCGTGTTTGTACTTGCATTAGCTATTTCAATTGTTGAAACGCAGGGCGATATAGAATATCGCAAAAGCAAAATATTCGAAGTTATTTAAAAGATACGTTTTAGATTGTTTCACTTTCATATTTAATTACGGAATAATAACCAGCGACACGAGACAGCTGCTGCGTAAAATTTCCGGTCAACAATGTGTTAATTTGAAAACGTTTTTGGAACGATTTTTTACTTTTAAATGGATTGTTTAACTGACCACGCTAAACAAAAGTTTTGTCAAGTTACACCATCGAAAATAGTGTTAAGTAAGGTTGTAACAATGATTTAGATAAATTTCGTTATTTTATATGACATTTTTACAAATATGTTAAACTTACTAATGCCAGAGATATTTGTGTAAATTTTCTCAACGGGATATCATACTAGACATGTTACTCGATATCAGGAATCTTGTCCCAGCGTGAAACTCGGTGACACTCACCTTTGTTTTCCTTCCGGTTTATTGAAACGTGACCAAGATTTATGGTTCACTGAGAAAGGAATTACAAGGGTAAATTCAAGGACATTTTACTTTATTTTTATGGTTAATATATGATTATATGGTCTATTTTGATAGTTAAGTGTTTTAAATAAGACATTTTTTTTGGGAAGTTTTCCCTGGCACATTGGAGGTACTCTAATTCTCAAGATATTAAAAGATTTGAAATATCGTTACCTTTGACAATATCTCAGTAACCAGTCAATATATTTAATAATTTTATGCGATGTCAGGTGCACTGAAGTGTATACAATAAATCTACAAAAAACGCTTCTGCACACTTCGAAAATTGAATATTGACCAGCTTTTCGTCGAATGGCACCACAATGGTCAATTTTCGGACAAAATGGGGTAAAAATAGGAAGCCGCATTTTCAATTTCGGATGAGAAAAATAACTTTAGAGATTTGAATAATTCGCAAATACTTCCATTTTTTCGGTTATAAATAAGACGAAATAAAAAGAAATGTATCAGTTATACGCACTAGACTGTAATAAATCAAATCACATAAAAATCTCTAACTTTTAACCCTTTGCACTCGTATGTCATGCTGGAGATGACAAAACAAATTTGTTATACTTTGTTTGTGATACTCTAAAAAGTATCTTTAAAAAATTATAAAAATTAAATGTTATTACAATAATCTGTAAGTGACTTTAATTCATTTCCCTAAAAATAAATACAATTTTACACTCAACAGCATTCAAGATAAATCGAGTGCAAAGGGTTAAAACAATTTTTTTTCTGTTTCTATGCCACTTTGTGCAAGAATGACCACTGTCAGGCGCGGCAACGATATGGCCGGTAGTGACAGCGACGCCCGCGGCCAGATGCCGGTGGCAGGGACCGGACAACCTTCTCGAGGCTGAGGAAAGGGATTATAAGTACCGGTAATGGTCAAACGTGAAACCTTCCTCGTGGGCGCGACGCCGCCGGTGCCTTTTCTCGGCCATGAAAGTAAAAGTTCGCCGCGAGAAAAGGAAAGAAAATGGAGCAGGAAGTAAGCGAGCATATCGGGACCGGCCGGCTGTCATGCAAATCACGCAACGGTTCTTAAACGCGCGTACTCACTCGGTATTACAACGCTGTCCTAACAGCGAAAACCGTGCAATTATATTTCGATTTCTTCCGAGCGGTTATTAATAGTAGAACTACCGAACATTTAACACTAAAACTACCGAGAAATAGGAATTACTTATTTCCGATTTTTTTAAAAATTAGAACAATATGTTTCTTGAGGTTCGAAGAATTTCCTGGTTTTGTATCTGTACAAATACACGAGTTTAATTAAAAACCTGTGGCAAAAACGTCTTCATTGTTTAAATACTTGCAAAATAAACATTCTGAACTGCGTGGATTTGATTCGGAAGTTTTAGTGTTAATACCATTAATATGTATTCGCTATAAAAATTGTAACTGATTATTTTCAGTTTTTTCAGACATTCATTATCTTTTTTTTATTTCCTAAGAATCTTTATAATTTGTTTGGTGGTATTTGTTAGATCGCATCTTGTGTATAAAACCAAGAGTTTGAATATTGACATAGCAGATTACAAAAATATTTCCTACACACCACCTAAGAGATTGGTGTGTGGAATATATATATACGTAGCTAGTGCGTTGGGGTGGTCACTCAACCTTGCACTACGTAGATAAGATAGTCGCGTTTCTGACATTCATTATAGTATTCAAGTGGAACTATTTATTTTCAAGATCATTTTGAATATCTAATGCTTTCAAGATTAAACAATTATAAAACTTTGTGTGTAAGTAAAGTAAGTCAAACTTAATATATTGTGATTTTTGTTTCATACGAAATTTCAATTTTGAAGGCATAAAATTACCCCTTGAAAAGAATGCAGATTTTCCTTTCTCGTGGATTATCTGGAGAACAATAAGAGGTAGCGAAGAGGATTAAACAAAAATTACATTGTCCTTTCACATTCATAAAATTGCGAAATAAAATTTTTCAGAACGTTAAAATTTTTCGAACTACCCCCACTACTAACTCTTAGAACTGATTTTTTCATTGTGTATGTTTTCCTTTATAATAAACAATTTTCGCCACAGTTGCAAGGTCTTCGTTTTATCATTATTCAATGCTTTACTTGAATATAATAAATATAAGAATGAAATGGAGGAGAAAATTCTAAAGTGTTTCACACTTTAGAAATTTTAATGTTAGATGAACACATGGTATAAGAGAAATATATGCGAAGAAGTGATCATACATAAGCAAATACGTAAGGATAGAGACGCAATAAAGTCGTTATTAAATATTTACGAATGAAAAAAGGAAAAAATAAGGAAACGGAACTATTAATGAGGAAATAATACAAAGCTTGTGATGGGTACCAGTTATTTAGCACTAACAGTTTAAAACGCATTGCGTTCCTTGTGCGTATTTCTCAGTGGTTAAAAGAAATATATTCCAAAAGCCACTTTTTGAAGATAATTTTATAGACACCTAAATTTAACTACAAAAATGGCCATGGTTTGATTCTATTTTAATCATGATGACCTTTTGAATAATTAATTTTTCACAGTATTCATTCTGTATATATGTACATACATATATACATACATACATACATACATACATACATACATACATACATACATACATACATACATACATACATACATACATACATACATACATATATATATATATATATATATATATATACACATTACAAAATTCCTCGGTGTGCGAACGTTATTTATGCGTATCCATGATATGTACTCAGTCAATGTAGTTTTCATTATAAATTCGAAGAAGCGAACGACCTTCGACATTTCGGTCGCGGAATATTTATTAAAACGTGCGTAGATTAGGTAATCCCGCGATCAGAGGCTGGAAAAAGTTTTGCTAGGATGAATGAAGACTAAACCTACGTAGCGTCCTGTTCCGTTGAGTAAGAAACGTTGCACACTCGTTGAGTAAGAAATCCATTTATTGCCATTCGATCGAGTTACAAGTAAAAGGTCATCTTTTCTCGTAATAAATACCGATGACAGGTTCGTTGCTTTTCAATTTTCTTCGGAAAATCTATTCTGACGTGAGTAAATACCATGTTGAAGAAAATTTTTTCTACGTATACACGCAGTTAATCAATCTCTCAGTGTGATTACCTGCGTAAAACATAGACTGAAGAAAATGGAATTGAAAACCGATTTTTATTTCTCTTGGAATAATTCGATATTTCATACACAACCGCACTTTAATTGACACATTTGCATCGGGCAATTTTTTCTAAAACTCTCCTATAACACGGGGTATTTTAATGATGTAAAAATATTCCAGCATGTGTGTATTAAAAAAATACACTAACACAATATTAAAAATTTGACAAAACATAGAAAAGTGCAGTTAATTATTTTGTCCAGAGAGTGAAGCATATTTTAAAAATAATAAGTGTCTAACAGTAATAAATATAAGCATTAAATACTAAATAATATAATTTAAAAAATGAGTAAAATTGCTTACTTGGATTTTGTGTGATAGGTAAACCTCTCGGCTTCGATTCCTGCACGAGCTCGCGCCTGCAGATCGTGATCCACGCCGTAGAGATAATCTGCAATACGGAAATACTTATCACACTTTCAATCTTCCCACGTGGTCTTTGGAAAGACAACTGAACAGTGAATTCGAATAAGGGTCTATGCTACATTTTGTTAACAATATGATTCTACAATCTCTCTGAAGATTATTTTAGTGTACACAGGTTGTAAATAGTGTGACTCCATTTAATGATGATATAACGTTGTGTATATGTTATTGTAATATACTATATTAAACATTATATTATATGTTCAATACTTTGACTAGCAAATAAAAACTCATCAAAACTTCTATGCAGAAGAAACAGTCTTAATAAAACGGAAATGAAAGAATGTTACCAAGAAAATTAATGTTTAAGTTTATGTAAAAGATGGTGTCACCGATATTCAGGTGATGTGGTAGTCAAAGTGTTAATGTAATATAAAATATATATAAAATAAAATACAAATAAGTATAATAAAAATAAACTATAATATATAAATATATTAATATAATATATTAAACATTATATTATATTATATCATATGGCCTAACATAGACTCCTTTTCTAGATATTTATTCAAATATTCAGTCTTTGTTCGCTTACCTGAAATATCGAACAGGTTGTTCGACGTTGTGATTGCTAGCGTCACGAAAGCTACCGCAGACAGCAGTCCTAAGCTGCATCTGAAAGAAAATTTTGTATTTAATCAATGCTACTGATCGACCAAACCGTTGTAAATATTTTTTTTATATTTATTCAGTATTAATAAAATACCAATGTACCCTCGAAACGATAGATGTTTAACACGTTCATCGGTGGTGCACAACTAATTTATAATAAATTATTATAAGAAAACAAATCAACGTTAATAAGTAAATTATTTACCAAATTATTAATTTGCATTTATTCACAATTAACAACTATAGAGATGTTACAAAGGAATGAACTTCGACATTATTTTTGCAGACATTGTTATTATTACGATCTATGATTAAACATATAGAAACGACTCAATGTTAGCACCAGTTCTATGTTAGTTGCTTCAAATCGAACCTTTCTATTAATGCGCTTGTTAATTATTCCTACTCTAAAGTTAATATTTGAATGTTGAATATTTTCTTTGTTGACAAGACAAGTTTGTTTCAATATAGTCCACGTGAAGTCAGTTTATTATTACCTCTTCTATAAAGCCGATGTGTATTTTACGAAGTTGTATATATTTATCATTTTGAGAAAAATAATGCGATAAACCTGTAATACGAAGTTTCAAGGATAATCGATGTACGATGGAAATCGATGCTGATTTTAAAATGATCGCCAAATGACTCAACAAATCATTAAACATATTAATGAATAGCTGACGTTAATTCGATAAATTATTGAAGTAATATCCTGATGCTAAACTCATTCATATGAATTATTTCTCTGAAATGTTCACATTGTAAATGCACACTAAAATAATGTATCGTTGTCATTACAATTTATTTGGCAGTATTAATATTTTGATTTGCCCGAGTCTCGGCAATTTGAAACTTTTGAAGTTCCCTTAACAAATCGCTTTCAGATTGGAAGAGAATCACAAGTTGCTCGTTAAAGTTCAATTTTTATTTGACAATAAATTCCTTCCAATAATAGACGTCTATCCGTTATATGCCACTGGTTTGCCCTTGCTTTATCACGTCAGAACCGTTCCAGAACTTTTCACTTCGCGTTTGTAATCATTTTTATCGAAAAAAGAATGAATGTCTTTTATTATAGTTGAAACGTCGCATATACTTTTACCACAGCTCCATTAGATTACATGAATTTTGTTCAGTTGAATTTATCCAAAAATACAGTTTCTAAAGCCAATAGACCAAAATGATACTAACTCTTAATAAGATAAAATTATCCTATAATGTATTTTTTTCTGCTACTTTTTAATATAAAGCATTACCACTTACACTCTTTTTTAAATCATCGACGTATTCGTCATCATTGGTGTATGACCTTTTCCATTTTCCAATTACTCTTTACTACCACTTTCGAAAACGTGATGTTTTTTCCATTAAAAATCCATAAAAAAAGACATTACTTATAGGAGATGACCTACTATGATAAACATTTCTATAATAATCTCGTCTAATCATCTTTGAGTATATGAAAACGTAAAATTGTTCGATGACACACAATACAAGTACAAATAATAAACAAAATAATTATTTCTAATTAACAAGTTAAAAATTGCCAGGACTTCGAATGCCTTAGCGTGACCCTTTAATCTTGTCCAACGCGAGGAAACGAGAAATAAACGGAGAGACACAGAGCGGGGAGAGAGAGAGAGGCATGCAGGCAACGAGAACTCCTGTCTATCGTAGCATTAATCGAAACTTGGTAAAAGTCACGTGTCAAGTGCACCCTACTCACTCCAGATCTAACGACTCATAGTAAAATCATTGGACCGGTAAATATTGCGTGTGTGTTATGCGTGGCAGTGCATCTGTCAATCACCGGTTCATCCTCTAATTGAAAGGGACAATTGTAGTACAAAACTCAGCGTTACACTACATTGAGTCACAAGTAGACTGGGGACTTTTGTGCAAATTAAACCTTCCACAACGAGGTTTGTCTTTAATAATATCCTTTCTTTCACTAAGTATATTATTGCAGCTGGTAAACTTATGAAATATTTATGGACATTCAAGTTTTTAATTGTATAATTAGGAAAACAGAATTACGATGGAAAATGGATTTTTCTAAGAAATATTATAAAAGGCACTGTACTTTGGATGTTTTATGTATTTCTTTTGTGTCGCACGTACTCTGTGTAAATTTGCAATTCCGTATTTCTCATAAATGCTTAAAAATCTGCGGCCTAGTTGTAAGTAAGTCTTATAATTCCAGCTTAACTGGTACTGATCTTTCGTGAAAGTTATAATGTGAATTATTCTAATACATCTATTATGTTCTTAACTGGTTGGCTTGTAATTAGACCGTGGATCTTTGAGGAAATTTGAATTGTTGGGAACATAATTAGAATAACAGAATTAGGATAGAAAATAATTCTTCCTAGCAAATGTTACGAAGAGCACGATATTTTGAAGATTTTATATATTTTCTCCTAATGCATACAAATCTGTATTCTACTTGTAATATTGTGACAAACTTATGAAGATCTCAAATGGAAGATTTGTTTTAACTCGAATTATTACACATTATATATTAAATATTTTAATTCTAAATATTATTGTTTTGTTATTAATTGCTAAAGTCTAGAATAGGCGTAGACATAGAATGCAAGGAATTCTTATTCTATTTCTATTAAGGATAATTCATAAATTTATAATGTAAAAAGCTTCATTTTTGACAAGAGACTTATACTCAAATCGGTCCTTATTATTGAATTCTTTTTATCAAAATATAATTTTTTCCAAATAATTATTCAACCAAATATTTTATTTTATTTATTACTTAATTCTAGTGAATATTAATTTAAAAAATTATTAATGAATTCACAAAAGGGGACTTGATGAATTAATGCAGTATTTAATCTTATGACTTATTTGTTGTTTTTGTTAGAGTAACTATTTGTCTTCTGTATTTATTATTTTTATTTTGCACAGAAAGTTCCCTGTACTGCTACCAATCGTAATTTTTATTCCTTTGCGATCACATTGTTACGCGGAGAAGAATCTTTCCCAATAGAGCAATCTTTTTCCAATTTTTCTTCCGATAAAGCCACACCAGAGAATGGCTTCGGATTTTGACTGAGGCTGTTCGTCTCCATCTATCCGCTACCTTATTCGAATAATATTCTCGTCGGTGACCTATTTCTCATCTCTCGCAGTCAATTTACTACGTATTATTCAGTTATTAGGCGAAAGCGAATATTCGATTTATTTCATACATCCACCAACTAAGCATATTAATTGTCAATAAAATTAATATAAAATATTATTGCCAGACCAGCAGAAATAATGAAAATTCAATAAAATTTGAATATCTTAATATATTCTTTTTCCATATGTTATTACAACAATTAAATAACATTTGTATTGTATTTGCAATAATTGATTAACACTTTCAATAATTACTCAAATAATTTCGGTTTATTCTGGTGAATCTGTTAATGATCGGAATAGTATCTTTCCCAATCATTGTAACCATCAAAAATGTAATTTAATTGTTTTTTATTTTCTACATTGGAGAAATGTAACTTCAGCCTTAGGGTTATTTAATTGAAAATTCTGATTTTTAAACATGTTATTTTCTGTGTGATAACTTTAGATGTATTCTGTTCTATTCTATTGTCAAAATAAATAAGGTGTAAAGGACAGTCGTCCACGTCACTTGCCAAATATGTATTATAATCATGGAATAAATTTCTAGTGAACATTGTAAATTATTGTATTTTACATTGAAATACCATTTGTTATTTGCTTATAAGAGGATGCAAATGCTACTTCGTAACATACTTTTTATACAAACGTACAATTCTTTCTCTCTTTCCGGATTTCATACACACGGCACATCTTTGTCGATTTAATTTCATTTTTGATTGTTAACTGCAACTAAATTCGCCTTCCGAGTCTGTATATTCACTGCTTTCACTTGTACTTTCAAATTCTTTCGCGGTAATATCTCTAGTTGTCGAAGCCGTACCTGTCAATGATAGAATTGAACTGCATTTAGGCGAATTATATCAAACGGCGTTTCTGATGCACAGTTGAAATTCATTTAACAATTTAAGTGTGTTAATGTGCAAAACATAATCATTACGGTTTATGGGCGTAAAGTGAATCAGCAAAAGGTACCCATGAAAGGTGATTAAATCTGAAAAATTAACTCCTACATTATTACAGCATTAAAACTGCGGCCTCCAGAGTTAATTTTATTACTTGTTTCTCAGTTTATTTTAATTTTAAGCGTATATTATATCATTCTATTTTATCATTTCTTTATTATCATAAATTTTGTATATAACTGTTGAAGTAAAATGTAACTCTACAAGGACTAAGAAGAGAACGTCTCAAGTTCATCGCAATATGAAAAACGTGTGATTATTTATCTTTTGCAGAATATTTAGAAAAAATGATTATTTTACTATCGCTTCTAGATGAGTAACGGTATTATTCATTAAATAATATATCACAAAGAAATTGGTTATGCATGCATACAACAATTTAGTTTAATGTCAAGGCTTATGTTTTCAAAGATTAATATAGATTTCTAAAAAGGTCGTTCGGTAAGTTTTATATAGTAATAACGTCGTTTGTACATGTTGTTCTATTTAGACGTAAAAAAATCCATTTATAAATATTCTCATCTACTAAACTGTTGCCATATTTTTACAATATATTTCTATGTTGTTATTTCTGTATAATACTTCTATTATTTATTTATATTATATTTTCATATTATTATTCATACATTATATTTCTATGTTATTATTTTTATATTATATTTCTATATTATTATTTCTATATTATATTGTTATATTATATTTCCATACTATTATTTTTATATTATATTTCTATATTACTATTTCTATATTATTACTTTTGTATTATATTTCCATATTATTATTCCTACATTGTGTTTCTATGTTATTATTTTTATATCATTTTCTATATCATTATTTCTATATTGTTACTTTTGTATTATATTTGTATATTATTACTTCTATACTTTATATTTCCATGTC